TTTTTTGTGTGTGTGTGTGTGTGAGAGAGAGAGAGAGAGAGAGAGAGAGAGAGAGAGAGAGAGAGAGAGAGAGAGAGAGAGAGAGAGAGAGAGAGAAAAACAAATTATTTGTTAGGTCTCTGTCTCAAATGAACAATTCATTCTGAAAATTGAAAAATAACTTCAAAATAGGAAATAAAAAAGAAAAACACATACAACACAGGATTCGTGAAAACCATACAAAACCACAAAACCCAACGTTTTGTATAGAGTGAAAAATTAGAACTCAAACTTCTATTTCTGGTTTTAAAAAAAGATACATTTTCGACCACTTTCCAAAAGACAAAGCAAAAAATTGGGCAAACAGTCGAGCGATCCTCGAAATGTGGAGGAAAACTCTTGCTTGCAAAGATCCTGTTATAGGACTACAAGTCATTCTCAATAGATTGGCAAAAAAGCAGAGCGGCGATTAAATAAACTGGTTGTAAAAAAACAATTTTAGTGCATTTTGGCATATAGGGCTATATATGCTGTTTCCAACATTTTATAGACTCTACGAAGCTTTTTAAAGTTAACAATAAAATCCTCGCCAAAAAATGTATGTTATTATGTAAAGTAATAGCACAAACAACTTTTGTCTTGGAGACATCTTCAAATTCTTAGTCAAACGGAAGTTAAAAAAAAATAAAGAAAAAAAAAAAAGAGGAAGTTTGGCCACACAGACTATACACATGATAGTTTGAGATAATAATAAAAAATGTATATTTCATTCAATTTCTAAGTATACAATACTTCGCCTAGTAATGATTTATTGTGGAAAAACCTGATTTTTTCCTCGCCACTTCGAGTGGTTCTCAAATTTTTTTTTTTTATTCTTTTTTGTGGTTTTTCTACTTTGCAAAGAATCTTGTTCCTACAGAAGGCATAAAAACCATACACACAGAATCCTAAATAGATTTCGTTCAAACCCAACATTTTTTTTGTTGGGCTTTCACGAATCCTATGTTATACTGTGAGAGAGTCTCTGTGGGGGTGAGGCTGAGGTCTGCCGAATGGCCACCAGACACTGCGTAGGGGTTAGCCCGAGCCGACGAGGCTGGATACTTACCTAGCTCCTGAGGTACCTGTACTATGAGGCTCGTGCGATAGTGCCTCAACCAGGGCTGGAAGGGGTTCCAGTCCAGCGCTTGTGCCCACGACTGCTGTCTGGTCAGGTTGCCCCGATAGAGAGTGGTAGTCCTCGAGCAAGGTATGATGAATTGCGGGTGTGCCAGGAAAAACACATCAAGAGGTGGCAGGGAGGGGTTTCGTGAGGTTAAAAAAGAAAGAAAAAGGTTGAGGGTGCGAAATGAAGGTGCACTTCCGTGTGTTTTTTTTCAGAATATTTGTTGGAAACAAATTGAAATACTTACTGTCATATTGATTTTTTTTTTGTTTACCTAAGCTATATTATTCTCTCAATTCACCTTTCAGGGTCTACCTACCACTACTCCTAAGCTACCTCGTAATGAAGGGATTGCATGTTGCCCCACTCCCTAGTGGTTTAGGGTGAAGGGTTGGGGCCACCTGTGGTTCCCCCATTAAACCACCAGTACTTGGCCCAGCTATCGGCCGCGGAAAAAAAATAGAGTAGAAATGTTTCTAGTTGGATGAATTTGGGCGCTCCTGTAGTGGCCCGTACGTTTCCTAAAATTGTGTAGCAACGCGACTGTAGGAAGTACTGGTGGTTTAACACAAAGCTCACTTTTGATCTTCCACCACACCCATTGAGGAACAGCAGTGTCCAAGGGTAACGCCCTCTCACACACCACACACAACCCACTTACACGCACTCACATCCGTGTTGGCAAAAGACCCTACTAACACTGACCATGGGGAGCAAGCTGACTATCTGAGCTGCTTGGTACCAAGGGTGCACCAGGCAGTCCGTGGGCATTGCGCGCATTGAGCAGTCAATGGGGACTGAATCCATGACCTGAATGCCACTTGTGTGTGCCTAACCAATTGAGCTAGGTCGCTTGTTTCAAGGTCATTGATTGATTTTTAGCATCTGTTAGAAAATACTTAAAAAGATGTATCAAAAAATGTTTTTGGTTCATAAGCGAAACTGGCTGAGGCTGCCAGCAGTTACACCGGGTAGAATTGTGGGCGCCCCGGCCCTGAATCTTGATATTTATAATGAACAAGTCTTGCTTAAACCACTGGTACCTTTGTCGGTTTGGGAAATAGCAGGCATCCGACCTTTCAGGAGGCTAAAACGAAACGACGGCCGGCGATGAGATTTATCAATGGCAGCCGTCGTCGTGCCCGGCCTCCAAATTCCTTGGGAGCTGCCATTTTCCCTCATTTTTTAACGCGTCAGAGGTACCAGTGCTTAAAAAAAAAAAAAAAAAAGTACAGCTATAGGACCCATGCTTTCTATTCGGGTGACGGTGGTAGTGTTGTTGGCTTGGCTTGATGAGACTTTGTTTGCTTGTTGGTTCGGTTCTGTTTCGTTTGTCTCCTGTGGTTGGCTTAAGTTGACTTGGCTTTGCTAACTCAGTCGATTTGGTTGCCTGAATTGGGCCGGCTTTGCTTACGTGGAGGGAGTGTGTTTGTTGTGGGGAGTGTGGGGTATCATAGATTTGAGATGGTTATCAAGAGCCGAAAGCATCAATGCAGGGGCATTTGGTCCAGCTCAATCGGGCAGTTGTTTCTACAACTCCTTTTGTTCTTTTTGCCATGTCATGGAACATATCTTTCTTTTCATTACTTGCCTACCACTACTCCTAAGCGTATACAGGGGACCCCTGCAAGCATAGCTTTCTACCTCTCTTCGTCGACGGGAGGTTACCTCTCTCTCTCTCTCTCTCTCTCTCTCTCTCTCTCTCTCTCTCTCTCTCTCTCTCTCNTCTCTCTCTCTCTCTCTCTCTCTCTCTCTCTCTCTCTCTCTCTCTCTCTCTCTCTCTCTCTCTCTCTCTCTCTCACACACACACACACACACATCCCCCTCCCTGCCTAGCGCTAAAAGGAAAACAAAGAAATTGTAACCCGTTACGGCTGCGTTCCCAACCGCCACTTGGTAGGCAATTGGCAACCTTAATGCTGCAATGTGGTGGGTTTGAGCGTCCGTGTTTGCAGCACAAAGGCCACATGGAAAGGGAACATAACAACTGCCATTTCGTCAAAATGGACATCGTTTATTTTTTGAACGAAATTGAAACCAAGTTTTTTGGCCGAAAACTCATCAAAATTTGATGTTCCTGCTGGACCTCCTGGCTGTACATGGACCTAGCTTGAGACCAGGCACCTCCAGGCAGCCAGGGGGTCCAGCGTTTGTAAAACGTTGGACCGTCAGGAACATCAAATTTTGATGAGTTTTCGGCCAAAAAACTCGGTTTCAATTTCGTTCAAAAAATAAAAAATGTCCATTTTGACGAAATGGTTGTTTAACAGCCCCCGCCCCCCCCGGCCCTCTCTCTCTCTCTCTCTCTCTCTCTCTCTCTCTCTCTCTCTCTCTCTCTCAAAGAAAAGCAAAGAAACATAATCCCTCAGGGCT